CCTTGTTTTGAAAAACCAAATTGTGGGGGGAGGCGTAAGTGGACACTGCTCATTCGGTTTCTGGCTGCCGAGACACAAATAATCACACAAAAATTTTATTAATTACAACACTGTTTGGCCTATTAGCTCAGGCTTCTTATTAACTAGCTCTTATAGCTTAAAATAACCCGTTTCTATTATTCACCATGAGGCTGCGGCTTACCGGGTAAGGTTCTGGCAACCATCTCCTTCGGCACTGTGTGGCATCTCTCCGACTCTGCCTACTCTCTCTATACATCTCTTCCAGCCTGCTATAGGCCAAAGCAGCTTCTTTATTAACAAGTGGTAATAAAACATATTCATGACATACAGCGGGGAATCCCACGTCAAGCGGGGACGACTTTGATTTCAGGGTCCATCTCCTTTCTAGTTGTTGCAGTTGTCTGTTTATGATTTCATTTTTTAAAAGCTTTTTCTTTATTTAGTTCTTGTGTTAGTCTATTTTCTGCTGCCATAGCAAAATACTTGCGGTTGCGGACTTTATAAAGAACAAAAGGTTGCGCTTGACATTTGAGAAGATGCAGAGGCATAAAAGCCGCTTACACTTGTCTCTGGTAAAGCTGTAATGTCGAAGGGCATTGAAACATGTGGAGCCTGTGAGGGCGACGACAGGAAGCTAGAGCAGCTGGCCAGTCTCTTAGCATCAGCTGTGGGGACCGAGCTTCCAGCACATGAGCCTTTGGAGACATGCTTACAGCATAAGTGGTAGAGCTGGGTACTGACCAGACACATTTCGTAGTCGATGCTGCTACTTTTGGTGCTGGGGCCCACGCCCAGAACTGTGTGTGCTGACATGTTCTGCCCTGCCGAGCTGCAGCCCAGACCTGGCTTATTGTCAGTCTGTATAATCCTAGCTTGGTAGAACTTGTTAAGTCTACCAGGCTATCCTTGAACTTCTGCCAAGGCTAGCTTCTTTGGCTAGTTAGTAGTTATGGCGGTACAGTGAGTGTGCACATGTGTGAATGGACCCATGTGCTCTCCCAGAGGCTACGCGAGGGTCACATAAATGCTGGGATCTGAACCTGGTGAGCCACCTGTCCCACCTTACTTCCTGGCTTTATTGCGGTGGTTTGTGGTTACAAACTTCCCCACAGCTCTGCCTTGGTTTCATTCTATAGGTTTTGGCATGCTGTGCTTTATCTTCTGTGTTTTAAGTATTTAACCTGCTCGCACTTTCTTCTTTGGTCCCTGATGGCTGAGCAGTGTGTTGTTTAATAGCCGCAGATTTGGGGGTTTCTGGTCTCCTTCTGTCATAGACTTCTTTCTTTGTTGTTGTTTTTTGCTTGGTTGGTTGATTTGTTTTGTTTGGTTTTTTGAGACAGGGTTTCTCTGTGTAGCCCTGGCTGTTCAGGAACTTACTCTGTAGACCAGACTGTCTTCAAACTCAGAGATTTTCCTGCCTCTGCCTCCCAGATGCTGGGATTAAAGGTGTGCTCCACCACTGCCCAGCCTGTAATAGGCTTCTAATTTCATGCTGTCTGGTAGGAATGATTCTTTGTGTCGTGTTTATCTTTTAAAATCTGTTGAAGGCCTGAACAAATGGCTCAGCAATTAAGAGTGCTTGCCGCTCTTGCAGAGGCCCCAAGTTTAATTCCTAGCACCCGTGTTGGCAGCTCACAACCACCCATAGCTCCAGCTTCAAGGGAGCTGCATCTCTTCTGGCTGCTGTGGGCACTGTGCACACGCACACAAGAACAGAAGTCTTCCTCTTCTTCCTCTTCCTCTTCTTTTTAGCTTTAGAGCCTAGGAATAGAAATCTTATTAAAAGTTCTATTGAGATTTAATTTGTGACCTAACATTCTCTTCAGATGACTGGGCAATAAAACTTTCAGATTTTAATCTTGGGACATCTGGATTTTATTGTAGAAGTTTTGAGATAAATGTATAGTTTAGGTGTCCTTCTTAATGTGATCTCATTACCTTCTACAATGGTGTCAGGAGCTAAATAGTAGTGAGAAAGGTTATCATTTATGAAATATCGAACCAGTGACCTTAGCTATTCAGTTGTGATGAAAGGCCTAATCTAACCTTTATTGAATGTGAGATTTATTAAAAATGAAACTTCTCATTTCCATTACTTAATCGATAGTACTCTAAGTCGTTTGTTAATTTGATTAAAGGTGGCGCTGCAGACTAGATTCCTGCTCCCCAGACATTTGACTTAACTTTAGTAACCAGGAAGTGTCTTTTAACCTAGAGTCACGTAAATCCATTTCATCCTGTACTGGTAACTTTTATAAGGCATGAGAAAGAGCAATTAAAGTTTTCAGGAAGAAGGCCAGACAGAGTTCCTCACATCTACACTCCCAGTACTGAGGGACCTAAAATAAGACAATGCGGATGAGGGTCATGTTGAGGCCCGCTTGAGCTACATGCTAAGACCTGACTTTGAAGAAAACAGAGCTGGTAAGACGGCTCAGCAGACAGGCAATGGCACGTGCCACACAGCCTGACAGCCTGAGTTTGATCCCTAGAACCCACATAAAGGTGAAAGGAGAGAACAGACTCTACATACTCACCCTCTGACCCCTACATGCTCACACACACCATATATAGAAACACTGTACATGTTAATACTTTTTTATTTTCCCAAATAAATATAGGGCTGGAGTGATGGCTCAGTAGTTGGAGTGCTTGCTTCTCTTTCAGAGAATCAGAATTCAGTTCCTAACAGCCATGTCGGTGACTTGCAGCCATCTTTAACTCCAGCTCCAGATCTTACGCTCTTTTCTGGCCTCCATGGCCACCCTTACACACATGTATACACACATACACATAAATAATCTTTAAGAAATAAAAAAACCACAGAAAGAAACTAATGTGTAGCTACGACTTAGGAAAGAACAGCTCCTTTTGAATCACAGCATCAAGCTATCAGAAAGATGTGTGTTTTATCTTCTGTTATCTACTATCGTAATTCAAATACCAGGGTTTCCTCAGATAATGTGTTAATGCAGCAAGAAAGGTGTTGGTGATTAGCAGCAGCTGGGAAGGAGCCCCAGGCAGGGAGAAGCAAGAGAAGGCTCAGTGACGGGACCTGAGATCTAATCTAAGCACAGTTGGCGGGTGAGGTGCAGGTCCACTTTGGCAGTAGATGCTCCGACCATCCCAGTGCTGACGGGGAGGGGGTGGTCTGGAAATGGAGCTGAGATTCCTGTCGGATGGTATGCACTGCCAGGCTTGCCTGTGAGCGAACTGGTATGTGTCTCACCAGCTGCAGGACAGCCTTGTCCCCAGGTTCATGGGGAGGAAATGGGTTCTGAAGAGCCGCTCTTGTAAGTTTTGGCTGAGTCAGGCACCATGTGAGCCCTTGTGGGGTGTCTCAGTGCATTGTCACACCAACCCTGAGGCAGAAAGCTGCTGACAGGAGCTCCCTTGCCCAGAATCACGGACCTGGGAAGGGGCATAGCCTGGGTCCAGGCCTTTGAACTCCTACGCCTGCCTTCTCAGCCACTGAAATGGAAGGTCACCATAGAGTCTCCCAGTAAATAAGAGAAAACCTGCCAGAGATGGAGGGGAGGCAGTGGGCTAAGACCTACTGAACAGCATCATTCCCAAGGCTACCCCAGAGAGAAGGTAGAGGAAGAGATTGGAGACAGAAGGGCAGAAATCTCCCTAGTTCTCAGAGGCAGCTGGGTGCTCCGTCTTGAGAGCCTGCCCTCTTCTGGTGGAGCAGCTTCTGATTTAGAGTAACAGTGGCACAGCCAAGTCTCTGTCCAGCAGACAGCAGGGGTTTGTGGCTAGTCTTACCGACAAGCTCCAGGCTCCAATCTTGCTGCTGCTTTTCTGAGTAACTGCTTTATCGGCCTTTGGGGAGGTCAGCCCCAGGCCAGCCAGCCCTGTGCCCACTGCACACCTTCCCAGTGGTGGGGCTGGTGGGAAACGGGTAAAGTCATGCCTGAGATTATTGCTATGCGCAGGTCAGCTTCACATCTTTGTGAGTGGGGAGGAAAAAAGAAAAAGGAAGAAGCTTAGTCCTGGAAGGGAAAAGTTGTTGATGGCTCATCTAGTGTCATGTGGTTTTCTATCACTACCCCTGAGCTGTCCATCCCTATGACCGCTTCTTGAAGACCTACATCCCAGTACATGATGCTAGGGCATGGTCATCCTTGGTGACCCATTTCCACCTAGATGCTGACCTCTTGGGCCCCTCTTACATATTGTCAGTGATCACACAGGATGGTTCCCTTGTCAAGATGGGGGGATGCTCCTTCGGCTTCACTTGTGATAGACCACAATGGTCTTGGGTGCTGATTCTAGGTCTTCCCAGAGAGAGACCAACAACTGGCAAAACTAGACAGTGTTCCCAGGGCTACGGAGGACTCCTAAGGGATTCTTGGTGGCTGCTAGCCAAGGAGAAGGTGTTTATGCTGGCCTCATTCCTGCAGCCCACGCCTGTGTCTCCAGAAGTCTGTCAGGAAGCACCTTCTGTGTACAGCATTCCCCGTATAACCCCCTGGTTGCCCCAACCTAATGGAACATTTTCCATGCTCACAGTTAGAGGCCACATTTAGGAGTGTGTTGCTTTTATAGCCTTGTCTTTGGCTCTTGAGAATTAGTATATTAATCTCTGACATCACTGACGTCCCCTGTGCCTGTAGCATGTGACTGTGCTCCCTCCCTGTGCTCTCTGGTGTGGGAGGACTTAGCTGACTTGGGTTTGGGGGCAAGTAGGGGTCTGGTGTTTCAGCACAGCGAGCCAGGGTGGAGACAGCCGCTCTCATTTCCCTTGGGTAGCAGTGGGCACAGCAAACACAGTTGCTATTGATGTACATAATTGATCACTTTATTAACTGTGGAAACGAAGCCTTATTGGGGAAATAAAGCATAACTTGATTATGTCCTGTGCAGAGGGCAGGTGCGGTGGAGTGTGGCTGACAGGTCCCGTTCCACGGCTGATTCTGATAATGATAGTGTTTCAGTACCATTGATGTCCTCTAATTGAATTTCTCTTTCTTTAGGCCTCTTCTGAAGAGCTGAAGGCTGCCTACCGGAGGCTGTGTATGCTCTACCATCCGGACAAGCACAGGGACCCGGAGCTCAAATCACAGGCAGAACGGCTGTTTAACCTTGTTCACCAGGCCTATGAAGGTCGGTGGAGAACTTGGCTTCATGCGCACAGACGTTCGATTTTTAAGTGACTTGATTTGTGGAAGGCAGAGCTGGAGTCCTTAGAGGTGTATAAAAGAGGTGCTTGGTTAGGTGCTTCCTACTGACGGAGCCCTTTGAAAGAGTCGTATTTTGCTTTGGAAATCAATATGTGTCTAGGAAGAAGAAAATGAGAGTCCAGATGAAGAGACGGGTCAGGTCTGAACAGAGGCTACGGCTCCAGCTGGTCCCCATGTCTGCCATGGGCGGGGCTGGTACTTGTAGAGTTGCTTTTTTTGACCCTTTTTTGTGAGAAGCTACAAGGCCTTTTTTTAACCTGAGTGATTTTATTGGTTTTGTGGCAGTCGGTGAAAGAAAGGGCTTACAAAAGCTGGTGTGTAGAGCGTGGTGGGGGATCTGAAATTTATGGCTTTACCTATAAATGAAGAAAACTTGGGATATGTTTGTCTCTGGGAAGGTAGAAGGCTCTGCAACGAGTGATTGGTGGCTTCCTAGTGCCGGTGAGCTTTACGCTACCTAGTTGGGCATTTTAAAGTGATTAGAATGATTTAAAAATAAAAGCAAAAAAAAAAGAAAGAAAGTTAAGTCACTCTTAGGATTTATAGATTAGGAAAAATCAGTTACTCATTCCAGACCCTGTGATGTGCCTCTGTGTGAGGCAGCAAGACCTCGCGGCAAGCAGGATAGCATGTTTTACCTCACAGCTTTTACCAAGAAATTAGATTCTGATGGCCAGTGGCACATGTTAGACAGGGGTCTGCGGTGTCACCAGAGTTGGTGGTGACCAAGCCCATTGTATTCTGACCTGTGAAGGGCTGTAGCGATTCTGCTGTTGCCGGAGATGTGCATCACAGTGGAAGCTGCCTCCCTGTGGAAGTAAGCACTGCAGCCGCAGGCAAAGCCCTGGACCTCCTAGTAAACCAGCTCTGCTCAACAAGTTTGGCTCCGTGTTTTCCAGTGGTCAGCTCTTCTTCCTTCTCAGAGGAGGCGCAGTGCAAAGATCCCCAACAGAATCCGGAGTAGCTCCGGGATAGCTGTCATCCTTGCTCACAGTCCATTGGGGCCCGGAGTAATTTTCTCCCTTGTTGAGGAATCTTCTCACTAGGTGCTGTGGCCACCAGTATTGTGAATGATATTCATGTATCTCAAACAATTTTCAAAGCTGGATGTTGGAGCTCACACCTATGATCCCAGGACTTGGGGGGTAGAGGCAGAATTGGGATGTTGGCTGTGTACTGAGTTTGAGCCTGGGCTACATGAAACCCTAGTTTTAAAAAAAAAAAAGAAAAAATTTACAAATAAAGAGAAGTACACCAAGACCAGCTGTTGCGGTTGGTTAGTGGTAAATCAGCTGTCAGCACAGTGTCCTGTGGAGCACACTATGGAACAGAGCGTTAGAGAAGGCTGCTCTTATGGGGCACGATGCTCCTGCGTCCCAGCACTCAGCAGGTGGGAACAGTAGAGCCAGAGTTTATGGACATCCCCAGCTACATAATAAGCGCAAGGCCAGCCTTGTATACAAGAAACGTCTCAAGAAAACTAAAACCTGAAACCAAACAAAAAACACCGTCCTTCCAAACTGCCAGAGTGGGCTGGGCCCTGTGGAAGCCCAGCTTTTCCCATCTGTAGCTTTTAAACACCCTCCATTGAAAGGAGAAAGCGTCAGGAAGGATGCAGCAGAAAAAGGATACTCCTAAGGGCTAGAAAGATGGCTCAGCGGTTAAGAGTACCAACTGCTTTTCCTAAGGACCCAGGTTCAAGTCTCAGCACCCACATGGCAGCTCACAACTGTAACTCCAAGATCTGACACCTACACACAGACAGACATGCAGGCAAAAGCCCAATGCGCATAAAATAAAATAAATATTTTTTTTTTAAAAAAGGGAAGGAAGACTAGCAAGGAAAGGAAGGCGGAGGCTTACCTCGTGTACACTGGGTTTTCAGTACTGAAGGGGAAATTTTCTGTGTGAAATGCTTGATTTTTTTTTTCTTTTTATTGCAGTGCTTAGCGATCCCCAAACAAGGGCCATCTATGACATATATGGGAAGAGAGGCCTGGAGATGGAAGGATGGGAGGTAAGAGACATTGAGCCTGAGGAGCTAGAAGCACAAGGAAGCACAGCACCATGGCTGTCCCCTAGGGGCCTGTGAGAGCACCTTCCGCTCTACCCCTGCCTGATAGCAGAAGTGTGGCAAGCCATTCACTTCTTTGTGTTTCCGTGTTACCTGAAGAATAAAGTTCTATAGAAAAGTGAGCATGAAAATTAATTGTGTTGTAAGACCCCAAACTGCTACAGAGTGTGTAGGTGTTCTTACCCAGAGACTGATGTGTGAGTGCCCATGGAATCCTGTCAGACGTTAGTGGCCAGGCGAATGGTACCAGTTTCCTGTTGACCTCATGCTCTGTCCCTTCTGACCCCAACATGAAGCCCGTCTAAGGCTTGAGGTATGATGGGAAGAAAGTAGGACTGACTGGTTGCCCTGGGGGCTTATGGGAAGAAAGCAGGACTGACTGGTTGCCCTGGGGGCTTATGGGAAGAAAGCAGGACTGACTGGTTGCCCTGGGGGCTTATGGGTCACCATCCACCTATAGCCATGCCCTGATGGGCGCAGCATGGTGAACTGTCTGGGAGTTTGTGTGAATATCCGACAGTTGTCTGAAGTGCCAGAATTGCAACACTGGACCTGAGTCCCTTCATGAGGTAGCTGCCAGCTCTGAGGAAGCCCTGCCCTTTGAACTAGGCTGTGTTCACACTTTGTCCCGTCCCCCTCCACTCCATACTGTCATCAGGCCATTGTCTGCAGCAGGCTCTATGTGTCCTGCCTGGCTCCCATAGGTGTTTGTTTTAGGCCTCTAGCTTCCTGGAAATCTCAGTAGTTCATTGCAATTTGTACCTTTTACCCAGATGGAAAACAGTCGTCTAGACTCTTCTCAGACTCTGTGTGCCCCCTGGATTAGTTTCCAGAGCTGAGGGCTGTAGTCAGGGCTGCTGACTATGGGGCTCTCATCACAGATGAGGGTTTGGTTCCTGGCAGTGTTTGGGCACGCCTGGCGTGGTGGGATCCTCCCACCAAAGCAGAGTGTCTCCCGCTAGCATGCCGCAAAGCCAGACTTGGCTGCTCTTATGCAGGAGGCAGCCAGTCACAGATGGTGAGCGGTCAACTTTGCGTGCATAGCTTCAGCAAACTGCTTTAATGAAACAAATTTCCCAGTAAGTCCGCAAGGTAAGCCAGCCAGGTATGATGGCTCGTGGGAGTGGCGCTCTCTCCACATGAAGGACATGGCATTCATTGTGTTACTGATGTCTTCAGAATACAGGTCTTTGGTGGCTGAAGGTCACCTGTCAGCCTGTTACTTGAGTAAACATCTAGGTTGTTTGGTAAAAGGTGAAGGTAATTGTGCATCCAGAGTATGTGAAATGCCTCAGAAGCACCTGGGTCTCAGCTGTGACGTCACTTGTGTCTAATGGAGGATGTTAGGAATGAAATTGGGCCTTTCTTTTAAAGGCAGGTTTCTCTAGGATGCTCTAGAAGGCCTGGAACTTGTTGTGTAACCAATAACCGCCTCCAGCTGGTGATTCCCGCCATGTCAGCGCCTGGAGCTGGCTGGCAGTGTTGACGCCAGTGCCCACGTTGAAAGTGAAGTTTGTCTTTTCCTTAGAATTGAGAAAGTCAGATTGAACGCTTAGACGGTCTCGGCACTCATCCTGGCTGGCAGGTGGAGTGAAACCACATGATTCAACTTGCCTGCAAACTGCTCTCGTTGGCACATCCTTTGACCTGATACACCTGCAGTTTGCAGCCCTGTATGTTACCCATTGTCCCCTATGAGAGTGTCTAAGAAGGGTAACTCTGTGAAAAGCAGAAATGTATCATGAGAGGAGATCTCAAACTGTCACAGAGCCGAGGTAACTAAGGCAATGTGAGAAATAAATGTTAGTGGGAAGCTCACAAAATCTGAAAAGTCTAGGTCTGGCCAATAGAAACGTGTGGTGCTTATGATAGCCTTGACGGTTGTCTATGGCCACATGAGATGCTACCGTTGGGGCTGGAGAGATGTTCTTCCAGAGGACCTAGGTTCAAACCACAGCACTTTCATGGTGGCTCACAGGTATCTGTGACTCCAGTTCCAGAGGACTTGATGCTGACTTCTGACTTCCCTGGCACCAGGCACCACAAGTGATACAGATATGCGTTTAAGCAAAACACCCATATGCATAAAACAAAATTTTATTTATTTATTTTTGGATTTTCGAGACAGGGTTTCTCCGTAGCTTTTTGGTTCCTGTCCTGGAGCTAGCTCTTGTAGACCAAGCTGGCCTTGAACTCACAGAGATCCGCCTGCCTCTGCCTCCCGAGTGCTGGGATTAAAGGCGTGCACCACCACCGCCTGGCATAGTACAAAATTTTAAAAATTAAAAAGTTTTTTTAATTTTTTAAATGTTATTTATTTATTTGGTTTTTTTCGAGACAAGGTTTCTCTGTAGCTTTGGAGCCTGTCCTGGAACTAGCTCTTGTAGACCAGGCTGGCCTCGAGCTCACAGAGATCCTCCTGCCTCTGCCTCCCAAGTGCTGGGATTAAAGGCGTGCGCCACCACTGCCCAGCCTTAAAAAGAATTTTTTAAAAAAAGATATTAATAGGGCTGGAGAGATGGCTCAGAGGTTAAGAACACTGGCTGTTCTTCCAGAGGTCCTGAGTTCAATTCCCAGCAACCACATAATGGCTCATAACCATCTGTAATGGGGTCTGGTGCCCTCTTCTGGCATAGAAGTGTACATGCAGGAGGAACATTGTATACATAATAAATAAATCTTTTTAAAAAAAGATATTAATATAAACCAGATGTGGTGGTGCATGCTTTTAATCCCAGCACTTGGGAGGCAGAGTCAGGCAAGTCGCTGTGAGTTTGAGGCCAGCCTGGTCTACACAATAAGATCCAGGACAGTTAGGACTAGAGAGAGAGACCTTGTTTCAGAATATTTAAAAAAGTTGACTTAGGCCGGGCGGTGGTGGCGCACGCCTTTAATCCCAGCACTTGGGAGGCAGAGGCAGGCGGATCTCTGTGAGTTCGAGACCAGCCTGGTCTACAAGAGCTAGTTCCAGGACAGGCTCCAAAACCACAGAGAAACCCTGTCTCGAAAAACCAAAAAAAAAAAAAAAAAAAAAAAGTTGACTTAGGATCCTAGACTTTTCAGACCCAACAATGCCTAGGGACTGTAACTGTGGACATTCTCCCTGGAGGTGAACTGCCCACCCCCACCTGACCCATCCTTCCCTGTAGTTGGACTTTTTCGGTCCTGCCAGCCAACTCCCAAATAACCACACAGAGACTTTTTATTAACTATGAAAGATCGGCCGATATCTCAGGCTTGTTTCTAACTAGCTCTTGTTTTGTTTTGTTCTTTTTGTTTGTTTGGTTTTTCAAGATAGGGTTTCTCTGTGTAGCCCTGACTATCCCAGAACTTGCTTTGTAGACCAGGCTGCCCTCAGACTCACTGAAATCCACCTGCCTCTGTCTCCCACGTGCTGGGATTAAAGTTGTGTGCACCACCACCGCCCGGCTGTAACTAGCTCTTATAGCTTAACCCATATTTATTGATCTACATTCTACCAAGTGACTTTTACCTCTGTCCCATTGTGTGTGTTCAACTCGTTCTCTATCTGGCTGGCTTCTCTGCCCTTGTTTTCCCAGCATCCTCTCTGCCTTGAAAATTCTGCCTAGTGATTGGCTCTTCAGCTTTTTATTATACCAATCCGATACAGTCACAGTATACACAAAGATTATTCCACAGCGCTTCTCTAATGGAGTCAGTCTTCCTACTGGCCCAGGTGAACTAGGCTTCTGTGGGGGCTCAGGGCAGGGGTTATCCAGCACATAGCAAAAGTTGTAGTGCCCACAGCCGGGATTGCCCTCACAGGACCACCCCAGCTTCCTGTACTCGATTAGTGCCAGGTAAAGCCCTGATGGCGGAGGCTTATGACTGCCAAGAGGGAGGTCTCTGCACCCAGGAAGCGTCATCAGCATTGTGGAGGGACCAGCCATTTTAATTTGGCAATTGGTTCTGACTCTATAACCAGCCGTGTGCAGGACTTGTGTGGAGTGTGGGCATGAGAAGAAGGACCCAGGTTGTTTTTACCGCAGCACATTCCAGGCTGAGACCCAGCATCGGGCTCCATTGTGCTCCCAGGCTCTGCGTTTCTCATGAGGGCGTAGGATTGTGCACTTGGTCATCGTGGTACAGTGGCCGCAGAGGTGAGGTACCTGATGTCCACAGTGGCCTCGCCCTTTCCATGAAGCTCCGCCTCTGTGAAATGTCAGCTGCATCACCTTCCTGTCACGTACACTGAGACTAAGCAAGGCCGTGCTAGATCCTGGCTTGTCCAGACTTGATCTCATGGTGTGCCAGTGACTTTGATGTCATCTGTTGTTAGGTCCTCCAGCGTTGTTGGACCTGAGACCACAGCGTCACTGGCAGCTCAGAGCTGCGCCTCGTGTCGTAGAGGACAAGCCCCATCCCTCACATGACTAGAGGTCCCAAGTTTAGAATCCCAAGTGTACTGCATTGACAGTTGATTTCTCAGTAGAACTAACTGTAAGATCTCTTTATAAGGTTCCTGTGCCTCTGAGGGGTTACTAAGATAAAGAATGTCAGTTTTGGGGGAGCCCAGAGGCCAGCAGAGCCTTGCTTTTCTCACAGGGTTGGTAGGCCGCTCTGTGCAACTCCTTCAGTATCTTTAGAGCCCAGGGTTTGCCCTGCTGGCCCCTGGCTATCGGCTATCCTGTGCGTGTCAAGCAAAAGTCAGCTCTGGGGTGTCCTGGGCCTCATCTCTCTCCCTCAATTCTGCTCACAGGTGGTGGAGAGAAAGAGAACTCCAGCCGAGATCAGAGAGGAGTTTGAGAGGCTCCAGAGAGAGCGGGAAGAGCGGAGACTGCAGCAGCGAACCAACCCCAAGGTAGCCAGCGCCACCTGGAAAGGGACTGGGGAGGCCAGGTTGAAAATAATTCAGTGTTTTTCAGCTGACAACATAAAACTGGGTGGGGCAAAAACTTGTGGCTTATCTCAGAGCGGTCTTTTCCTGGAGAGTGACAGCTGTGCTGCTTAGCAGAGCTGTGGCTGAGGACAAGCATGAGAGCCTGGGGAGGGAAGGCTACAGAGCCTTGGTTTGCACAGGCACAGCTCATAGTTCCCGAAGACCGTCCCTTTGTTACACTTCCTGAACCCTTGGCTATCAGGGTCAGTGAGAAAGGAGACCACCTGACAGCTCAAGTACTAACACAGTGGTCCCCTGTGCAGTTATACTCTGGAGGGCAAATCCAGATGGCACCAAGTAGGGGCCCTCTGCCTTCATCACCCCAGTCAGACCTTGTATGGTGTCTTTTTCCTTCTATTCAGGAGGTCATTCCGAGCTGTGCCCCACCCAGGAGGCAAATGGTATCTCGTGAGGTTTGGGGTGACATTGTATTGGGTGGTTGACTGCAGCTCAGTCCTGTCCAGCAGTGAAAGGGTGCTGTTTGCTGTTCAGGCTGGGCACTATCAGTGTGTCAAGATGGCCCTGCTACAGCCTATTCCTGTAATGATAAGACGCTGGTAGCCTTGCCATCACCTCTTGAGGTACCCACATCCTCTCGGCAGCTGTGCAGGATGATGAGAGGCACCGTTGTGTTTCTTACATCGTCTTAGACATATGTACAGTGCCAGCTGAAGCCAGGAAGCAGGTACAGTGAAGCTCTCATTCTTTCTAGCACTGTGTTTTAAGACAGTAAGTGTGTAAAGAACTTTATTTCCAGTGTGAAATGGGAAATTTTCCTGGAGATCCATCCTATGGAGCTGTATCTTTGAATACCATTGTCCCCAGTTCTCACTGCCTCTTACCTGGCTTCAGTTTGGTCTTTTCAGATAAAACCTTGTATCTGTAACTTCCCACTGAGAAAGCTAAAACTTGGTGCTGGGGTCATGTGTCCCTGGGCCCCTCCATAGTGTAGAGGAGGGGACTGTCACTAGTGTGCCATGAGGTCATTCACATGGACTTACGGTAGCACTGCTTCTGCCTAGGACACTTCCCTCCCTCCTGGTTCAGGTCTCTGGTTTATACGAATCACACACTGGTTTTAGTGACTGGCAGCCTGGAATAGAGTTGGTCTGTGCTGTACTGGCGTCATGTGGCCTGGTTTGATTCTTGTCTATCCTAGCAGCCCCCAGCAGCTTTTGCTGCTGTTTTCACAAGCTTGTGTGGACCCCTGTGCCTGCTGCTTGCAGAACTTGACTTTCTCTGAGGATGGAGGTTGCTTTCTTTTTAACCCTGTTAATTGATAGTTGCATAGATTATTAAATTGTTCCCTAGTCCTTTCTGTTCTGTCCATATCAGACAGGCTGATACTAGCATAGCATCCTTTCTTAGAAAGGCTCTGTCGTCTTCACACACGTAATGGCTTAGAGACATAATTCAGCTATATCAGAAAACATTTGAATACCTATACAGATACTTTCCAGTCACAGAATGCTTTCTTTTTTTTTTTTTAAATATTTATTTACTTATTATGTATACAATGTTCTGTCTGTATGCCTGAAGGCCAGTTGAGGGCGCCAGACGCCTTTACAGATGATTGTGAGCCACCATGTGGTTGCTGGGAATTGAACTCAGGACCTTTGGAAGAGCAGGCAATGCTCTTAACCACTGAGCCATCTCTCCAGCCCACAGAATGCTTTCTTAACAACATGATTACATTGTTTACTTTTTGGTTTTTAAAGATAGGGTTTCTCTGTGTAGCCCTGGCTGTCCTGGAACTCCCTCTGTAGACCAGGCTGGCCTTGAACTCACAGAGATCCGCCTGCCTCTGCCTCCAGAGTGCTGGATTAAAGGTGTGCGCCCGCACCACACCACACCATACCTGACTGCTCTCTTATTTTTTAAAGATTTTCAAGAAAATTGTTTTATAAGGCTGAAGAGATGACTCAGGGATGAATGTGCCAGTCCCGACAGCTTCAGTTTGATCCCCGGGGTCCATGTGACAGAGTTGATACACAAAAGCTGTCTTCTTACTTCCATGTGTGCACGCACACTAAATACATAGAAAGTTTAAGGTAATTGTTTAGGTTTCCATGACAAACCACAGCCATCAGAGTGAGCCTGCTGTGGCTCCAGCCTGCTCTGTGGAAGTGGTTAGAGTCAGGAAGAAATCCACTAGAGCCCGCATGTTTGTTGGTGCTTGGTGGCAGAGGGCCAGAGAGGGTCACAAGCAGAAGTGGGCTGCAACTGAAAATGGGACAATGGGACTGTGGCGTAGAAGGGACAGGAACCTGGTTGATCCTGTCTGGGAATTTGTCACATGAAGAACTGGGCTTTGGGGGCTGGAGAGTTGGCTCAGCAGTTAAGAGCACTGACTGCTCTTCCCGAGGACCCGGGTTCAAATCCCAGCACCCACATGGCAGCTCACAACTGTCTGAAAATCCAGTTCCAGGGCATCTGACACCTTCATACCAATGCACATAAAATAAAAGCTAAATAAACCATAAAAAAAAATTAAAAAAAAAAAAAAGAACTGTGCTTTGGAAAGCAGAGTCCTGTGTTGCTCCTAGACTGCGTATCTGACTAAAGGCTACTGTGTGTGCAGAGTCACTATCAGCAAGACTTGAGTTAAAGGCTGCAGCAGGCTGAGGGTCTTCAAATGCTGATACAGTCCAGTTTGCTCCCCCTACAATTGTAAAGTCTAAGTCTTGGTTCTGAGATAATGCAATGATTCTGTAACTGCTCTTGTCCTCACAAGAGCTGTCTGAGGCCAGTGCAAAAAAGGCCAGTGTCGAGTTGCTCTCAGCTGCCTGCACCGCTTCCTCTGCTGCTTTATACAAACCAAACAGCACGACCAGGGCACCATAGAGAAACGAGAGCTCGTTTGTGGTTTTAGAGGCATGAGAGTTCATAGAGATGCTGGCTGCAGGGGCTGGGCCTGGCTGGAGCAGGAAGCCAAGAGGCAAGCTGGAGTCTTGAGTCTTTAAATTCTTCCCATCAGGCTGCACTACCCACTCCCCCTCAAACAGTGCAGCCAGCTAGGGACCAAGGGTTCAATTGCCCGAGCTGTTGTAGGCATTCTCATTCAAACCACCACATTGCCTGTGGGGGAGACTTTCGGTGAGTAAAGAGTCATTGTTGAAATTCTAAGGATCTACCTCAAAAATGAAAAAGGGGGCTTTTTATCCATAACCATTAATGAGAAGAAAGGACCACTGCAAGTCTGTCAGCTGCAGTATCTGTGGACGGGACTCTCGCCGAAGACCTTTGCTGACTATGGGGGAAAGAAGCAGGGGCCATGGGACTGTGAATGGAGCTCTCTCTCGACTGTCTGTGCCTGTCTGTTCTTCTGATTGGTTTGACTGAAGAAACAGGAAACTGGGTGGAGTCCCATGGACTATTTGTCACCAGCGTCCAGGGGTAAAGTAAGAGTGTCCTCACTGTGGACACTCACACCCAGTCACGGGGATCTGGAGCTGCCTGCTGCACACAGTCTTTAGACACTGATGGCAGTTAAGTGCTCTACACCTGTTGGCAAACCGCAAGCCATCACACAGTGTGCAGCCCAAGAGAATGTGCCTGGTTCTGCCCAGTGCTCAGTTTCACCAGTGAGTGCCTAGATTTACTCTCTGCTCTTTACAAAACAGGCGGGACAGCTCCGCTCTAGATCAGCATGAAAAGCCGGCAGAAGCTTGCTAGACAAAAGGCAGTGCAAGGCTGTGGCTTGACTTGTAGAGACGGAAGGCCCACCTACCTCAGTCCTTGCTTTCCACTGCAGTTAGGACTCCATTCACACAGACAAAACTACCAGAACTGGCCAAGTGGGGTGGCACACATCTTTAATTCCAGCACTGGGGAGGCAGAGGCAGACAGATCTTTGAGTTCTAGGCCAGCCAGAGCAATAGAGAACCAAACTTGTGATTTATTGGAGTTGCTGGTGGTGGGGATTAAAGTAAATGGTTTTTACTTTCACGTGACTGTACTATAGGGCAGTCGATGAACTTGGACAAGAACCTGCACACTTTCAGTCAGAAGCTTCGGCTAATCTCTGACCCACTCGGGGTCTCCAGCAAAACTGATGCTGTGCTTTAGCTGAGTGTGCTGTGAGAACACATACGGTGTCATTGTACTGATACTGTGCTTTAGCTGTGTGTGCTGTGAGAAAACATACGGTGTCATTGTACTGATACTGTGCTTTAGCTGAGTGTGCTGTGAGAACACATACGGTGTCATTGTACTGATACTGTGCTTTAGCTGAGTGTGCTGTGAGAAAACATACGGTGTCATTGTACTGATACTGTGCTTTAGCTGAGTGTGCTGTGAGAAAACATACGGTGTCATTGTACTGATACTGTGCTTTAGCTGAGTGTGCTGTGAGAACACATACGGTGTCATTGTACTGATACTGTGCTTTAGCTGTGTGTGCTGTGAGAAAACATACGGTGTCATTGTACTGATACTGTGCTTTAGCTGTGTGTGCTGTGAGAAAACATACGGTGTCATTGTACTGATACTGTGCTTTAGCTGAGTGTGCTGTGAGAAAACATATGGTGTTGGAGGTGAACAGTCATTGTGAAGCAGGCCAGCCTGTGGGCACACGGCAAGGAAATCCTCCTGGTGCTGCAGTGGGCCATCTGGACCCTTGTCAGCCGTTTCCAGAACAGTTCATTCATCAAGCAGGTTGTTGCTGGAGCCCAGCATTCTCCTTGGCTCACTCTCACCGCTCTGGTTCAGTCGCTTTCCATAATTGTGGGTTAGCACCAAAAGCTTTTGATCTGTAGTCACCGGCTCATTGGAGTTTTCAATTATTAAAGCTGAGAAGTGCTAACTGGACCTTAGTTTTAGACTTCTAATGGTCACTTGTCCTTTGCTGAAGCAATCACTTGGTTGTCAGTGAGAGTGTCAGTTCTTTATGACAGGTCTTGCTTATGGCCTGGGATGACTTGGAACTTGTGTTCCTCCTGTCTTGGTGTCCCTGGTGCTAGGATTTTGGGCCCGTACTGCCGTGGGCCTTGCTGAATATATACTATTTGAAAAAGTCACCGCACTGGGCCTGCACCTGTGTTTTTATTGTAGAATTGTTGAGGAAGGAACCAGAGCCTTGCACATCCAGGCTCTACCAGTGAGCTATATCCTCAGCCTACAACAATCTGAATCCTTCTCAGGATTTCTGGGGTTGACTAGACTTCACTGGCTGGCTCTAGACTGCACCTCCCTGCAGGTGTAGTTCAATGGCTCCTGGGTCTTAACATTCATAGATTTACTGGACCAAGTGTTGAAGAAAGCTTACTTGATTGTTTGGGTTTCTTTGTTTTTGAGCGAGGGTTTTTCTAGGTAACTCAGGTTGGCCTTGAACTCAGTATGTAACTCAGGCTAGCCTGAAATTTAGGACAATCGCCCTGCCTCAGCTCCCCAAGTGATGGTATTCCAGCATTCAAACCCTGCAAACCAGATCCTCTTCAGCTGCAGAGGGGCCTGGTCTGGAGTCTGCCCAGCTTGCTAGGTGGTCACCTTGTTGTGCGTGACTGGTCTTCCCCGAATGGCGTGGTCCAAAGACCCAGAAGAAGCACAGTTTCTCGTACTTGATCTTGAAGTCAACACCATCACCCTATACCTTCCCTCCCTCCCTTCCCTTCCATATTTTTAAACTGTGGTTGTATATGTGTTGCTCTGGGGAAATGGAGCACCTGCGTGTCAGTCATGGTGGTGCCCACATGTAATTCCAGCGCTTGAGAAGTGAGACGAGATAAGTAGGAATTCAGAGCCATGGTTTACGTGAAACTGTCTCCAAAAAATTATTTTTCCATTTAAAATTTCTTCATATTATAGCATGGAGGTGCCACTCATGGACATTTTCTTTTTTGCCTCCATTCAGAACAGTCTTTGTTCTTGTTTGTTTGTTTTTTAAGACAAGCTTTCTCTGTAGAGCCCTGTAGAGTCTCTGTTGTCCCAGAACTCTCCCTGTAAGGCAGGCTGGCCTTGAACTCAGAGATCCACCTACCTCTGCCTCCTCGTGCACTACCACTGCCCAACTGTCTTGAACCTTTTTGTTTGCTTTTTGTTTTTGTTGTTGCTTTTTCTCTGTAGGGTTTCTCTGTAGCTTTGGAGCCTGTCCTGGAACTTGTTCTGTAGACCAGGTTGGCCTTGAACTCATAAGAGCTAGCTCTAGTACAGGCCCCAAAGCTACAGAGAAACCCTGTCTCTTAAAACAATAACAACAAAAAGAATGGAATGTAAGTCTAACTAGTTGAAAAATGCCAGTTCCACCTACAGACTTTCTTGTCCAAAGTTGACCTGCTGAAAGGCCATCAACAGATTTTGAGCTATCCCTCAAGCCATTGGAGAACGTGTTCGGTTCAAGTTTTCCCTTGTGAGCCGGCCCATCTGAGGATATTCCTCTGTTTTCAGTGACTCCACTCCCCGTGGTGTTTCAAGGCTGATGAGTGTTTGGGCTGAGTGAGTAGTGCACATACCACTGATGTCAAAGGCCGAAAGTTGCCCGACCAAGAACTCTAGGCCAGTCTGAGCAAGGCAGCGAGAGCCCCCACCTCAACAGTAGTTATCGTGGGGTGTGGGGCGTGCACCTCTAATTTCGCACTTGGAAAGAGGAAAGTTTGAGACCTTTCCAGGGTTACATGTGGGCAAGACCCTGTTTCAAAAAAAGAAAACATTTTTTTAAAAAAATAGAAATAAAAATAAAAGTAATAAATGACAATTTAAAAGGTAGTCGGAGCCAGGCTTGGCAGCTTGGGGTGTCGTCCTAGGTGCTTGGGATCAAAAGTTCAAGACCACCCCGAACAACTTACCTTGTCTTTCAAAGTGTCTCGAGGTAATGAGGTATAACTGAGTGGTAGGGAACTTGCCTCGAATGTACTGGAAAAGAGGGAAGGAGAGAGAGGTCTTATACGTACATCTTTCTGAGAAATTGAAAATTTGATACTTTTTTTTAACAAAACACGGTTTGATTTCGTCATTGAAAAGTGTGTCATGACAAGTATGATGGTAACAGCTCGTCCACTTCTCAGGAGCAGCCAACGCCTTTTATTTATTTCTGATGACCATGAGGTGAGAAACTGACAGAAAAATATCCAAAAAAAACCAACTGATGCTTAGTGACATTACGAATTATTCAGGTTGCGGGGTTCGTGGACAGAATTTTCTTGAAGCACAGCACAGTCAATTGGTTGCTGTTATAGAATGGAACACTGCAGACAGCAGCCAGATGGCCGAAACCACAAAAATATTATGTACTCTAGCCCTTCACAGACAATGCCAGCCCTGGTGGCATCCTTCAGCAGATGACAGAAGTGCTGCGGTAGGTCCTCAGCAGAGCAAGCCCACCTCCTCTCCCAGCTGCCACACCTACCCGTCACTGTCTGATTGTGACAACTCCTGGCCATCTGCCACCCAGAGGCACGTCTAAGGCTGCCCACCATCCACTGAGCCTAGAAGGAGTTAGCTTGTACCAAGCAATTTTGTCAGCAAGCACCACATGGGCCATCTGAGGCAAGAACATGCTGTTCCATTTCATCTTGAGCTAGATGGGAGGAGCTTGGGTTAAGAAGAGCGCTACTTCGAAACCATGAGGACTGGATTCCAGCACTCATGACAGGCTGGGCATGAACATGCCATGCCTGTAACCCCAACTCTGATGAGAACAACAAGAGGGTCACTGAGGTTTGCTGGGCCCCAGCCTAGCCAAGAAAATGCCAGTCCTAGGCTTAGGGAGAGGACCCTGCCCCAAAGGAGTAAGTAGAGAGGAATGGAGGAGGACACCTGATATTCTCTCCTGGCTTCTTCATGTGCCCAGGCCAGGTGTGTACATATGCACGGGCACACGCAGATAAATGAACACCTAATGCCAAGACCGTGTGACTAGGGGAAGAGTGGGGGCCTTGCTCGGCATTTCTACTGCCTGCATGTTAGATGTGAGAAACAGGGACAGAGTCCACTGGGGGAGAGGTGAGTGTTGACCTGTCACACCCACTGCTGGGTGTGGTGCATGCGTGTGGAAATCAGGATAATTTGTGCCAGTTGGTTCTTTCCTTCTGGCATGTGGATTCCGGAGATGGAACTCAGAGAGTTAGGTCTGGCAGCTAGTACAGCCATTACACACTAGGCCATCTCGCCAGCCCCCACTGCATCTTATTCAAAGCAACTGTTGCTGCTGGTGATATGTTGTTAAGATGTCTTGGCTAATGGCTAAGCCAACAAAAACACGGTGAAGTTGGTATGGTGAAGGTTAGGATATAGGGTATAGAACGTGTCAAATTCCAGAAAATGTTTTTTTTTAATATTTATTTATTATGTACACAATATTCTGTCTGTGTGTATGTCTGCAGGCCAGAAGAGGGCACCAGATCTCATTATAGATGGTTGTGAGCCACCATGTGGTTGTCAGGAATTGAACTCAGGATCTTTGGAAGAGCAGGCAATGATCCTAACCACTGAGCCATCTCTCCAGCCCCAGAAAATGTGTTAAGACGTAGTCAAGCCCAAGTTTTACAGAAAACAGGAATGAACTTATTTTGACCTTGTAGCAAGATGGCTTTTAATCTTAAAATGGGGTCAGGCTGGTCCCTCGGTGTATCCTGGAATGCTAGCACCTGAGAGGCAGGAGCATTGCTTCCAGTTCAGTGCCAGTGTGCATAGTGAATTTTATGTCAGCCTGGGCCACAAAGTGAGTATCTAGAGAAATTAATAAAAATGTGTGTGGTTTTGTATGTGTGTACAGTGTGTGCACACATGCTGGGTTAAGATAGACCCATGAGAAAAGTCTTACATGCTGGGTTAAGATAGACCTATGAGAAAATGATAAATGTGGTTTGTCTTTCTGTGAAGGGTTTTGGCAGTTAATTTTATGTTACCTTGGCAGGCTAGAGATATCTGAGAGGAGGGAGCCCCGATTAAGAAAATGCCTCCTTAAGACGGGGCTGTACACAAGCTTGTAGAGTATTTTCTTAATTAGTGATTGTTGTGGGAGGGGGCATCTCTGGACTGGTGATCCTGGCTGAGCAAACCAGTAAACATGACCATGGTCTCTGCATCAGCTCCTGCCTCCAGGCCCCCACCTTGTTTGAGTTCCTGTCCTGACTTCCTTCAGTGACGGACTATGATACGGAAGTGTAAGCCAAGTAAACCCTTTCCTCCTCATCTTGTTTTTGGTCGTGATGTCCTCACAGCTATTAGTAACCCGAACTAAGACAACCAGTCAACAAAATTTTAACTTAGCATTTCTGTACATGCTGTCTTGTGTTGCTGTCTTTAGTTTTCAAAGGCAGAAAGGTGTGTGAACACCCGTGTACAAATACTGTGTGTGCACATCGTGTACCTGCTTCCTGGTCTGGAGGGCGCCCTTAGATCTCGTAGAATTGAGAGGTGGTCTTGAAGTAAAGGTGCTTAGTCCATGTGGCCGGCCGGTGTCTGGGTGATGTCGCCAGGGACCTGTGTGATCCCTGCATGCTCGGGTCATTGGCTCTCTCTCCCGTGTCTTGTCCCTCTGCAGGTGTGTACAGGCCGGCTCTTCATAGATCTGGTGTTTGCTGGCTCTGACATTCATGCTTCACAGACTTCATGGAGCACTGTACATCCGTGAAGTCAGATGCCCAAGCACTCCACTCAATGTTTTCATTCCACAAACACCAGCATTTCGTGCTGACTGCGTGTTTTTCTGCCCCAGGGAACCATCAGCGTTGGAGTCGATGCCACTGACCTTTTTGATCGCTATGATGAGGACTATGAAGATGTGTCCGGAAGTGGCTTTCCACAGATTGAGATTAATAAAATGCACATATCCCAGTCCATTGAGGTAAAGCACAGACACCTCTCCAAGTACAGCCTGGGCCTGAGTTAATGAGGCGCAATGCCGGAGCAGCTGGATGGGAGTGGCTCGGGGTTTCTCATCGTTATTTATGAAAGGCTGCAATTAGCCACTGAGAGGGGGAAGGGGGGATGAGAGGACGTGCGAGCATGCTCCATTTGGCCTTGTTTGTTACTGCGTTGCCCCCCCACACAAGGCAGCTGAGTGTTGGCACTTAACTCCCAAGGTCCCGGGCCTTGCCAGTTAGGAGTGCTAATGGGGTAAGCATAGATGCCCAGGGTCGTAGTCATTTTAGGAAGGAAGGCAGCCCTGCTGGCAGATGATGCTCAGAGCTAGTCTAGGTTCTAAGTACTTGACTGTGTGGAAGACAATAGCAGCTCTGGTCCTGAGCCAGAGAATTCGAACACCACCCTTTTGTCCCTAGATGCAGTAGGGGCAGGCCATTCTATTTAGGACACCAGGGTCTCTGCCTACACAGCGTCTTCATTTTATTATCAAGTGCATGAGCCTGCCCCGTGGAGTTAATGCTAAGAAACTTGCTGTTCTTGAAGAGCCCTTAATACAGCCAGAACCCTGGTGGCAGGCTGGGAGTAGAAAGCCCAGACAACACATTATGGGAAGGCACAGGGTCAGGGTCTCCATGTAGCTCCTGCCTTGGCACACTAGACCTGGTGTTCTGCTACTCTCTGTGGGTTTGGGGGATTCTTCTCTTGAATTTGTGCAGCTCAAGAGGTAACTCAGTAAGTCGAGTGTCTGCTGATAATCACAGGCTGTGGACTGGATTCCCAGTGCCACATACATAACATCAATGCATATGGCTGCGTGTCGTGGCACCTGCCAGCGCTCAGGAGGCAGAGACAGGAGCATCTCATCCCACAAGAAGGCTAACTCATCTGTGTAGCCCCACAGCCAGGGCTATAGTGAGATCCTCGTAAAAAATAAATAAATAAACTACTGCTTTCGTGGGCCCCATGCCATTGATATAAATTAGGAGAGCAGAGCGGTTGGGAGGCCTCCTGTCTCTGTCCTCAAATGCCAGGTGACCTGTGTCCCCATTGCCTCTGTTCGCTTGCTACCCGTGGCTGTCTTCCCTTAGGCACCCTTGACAGCTACAGACACAGCCATCCTCTCCGGAAGTCTCTCCACCCAGAATGGCAATGGTGGCGGTTCCATTAACTTTGCACTCCGGCGGGTCACTTCTGCAAAGGGGTGGGGAGAGGTAAGACCCACTGGATTCTGGTGTCCATACATGGTCGGTCCCCTTATTGACTAGTCACATGACAAGCTAACCTTCACTGCCTGAGGGAGCTGTTGGTTGAAAGTCGCCTGGGCTGGTAGTCAGTGAGGCAACCAGGAGAGTGCCAGAAGGACTGGTGTACCTCTCCATAGGACCCATGTCCCATCTGTCACCCAGGAGATGTGGCAGGTGGCACCATGGTGGGGAGGGGTGTGGACTACCAGTCTCCTTCCCTTCTGACTTGAGCCAAGGGAGGTCAGAATTTAAGACTGACATTTTCTTTGGCGGAGTAATTGTCTACAGTCTGGGGCAGAGATGATACCGAGGTGTTAGGAATCTGCCCGTCCTCTGTTGGGAGCCTGGCCAGGTTCATGCTGAGCCCTGGGTTGCTGTTGTAGAAAGAACACCAGTAATGCTTTCTCTGTTTATTTTTCCAAACAGTTGGAGTTTGGAGCTGGAGACCTCCAGGGGCCTTTATTTGGTCTCAAGCTGTTCCGTAATCTCACACCAAGATGGTAAATATACAAGATAACTCCTTTTTGGTGATCTGTGCTAACTTGTATTAGAGTCTGTGACGTCTTCTGATTGTGAACATTTGAAGTTACTGGTGCTGTGTGGGCTCAGTTGTACAGGTGCTGGGGCAGCCTGCAAGCTGAAAGAGCTCTGCATGGGAAAGCAGGCCTGGCCCACCAGGCTTCCTTCTGCACTGAGAAGCTTTCTAACATGGGACCCTTTACCCTACAGTCCCATGAGGACCAGGAAACAGAATCTGTCTGTGGGACTACCTGGTGGTTGGACAGACTTGGCCACACCTGAGTTTTACAGCCTCTGCAGCTACAGTGATGACTCCAGGCTTTGGTCCTAGTTCGCTTCCCAGCTAGTGTAACATGGAATACCCTGCTGAGAGCAACTTAGGGGAGGGAGACAGTTCCAGGGGATAATTCATTCTAGGAGGGAATCACAGCAGCGGAACCTTGAGGGGACTGGTCACATCAATCTGTAATCAGGTCAGGGAGGCAGATGTGGTGGCGTACAACTTTAACCCCAGCACTTGGGAGGCAGAAGCAGATAGGTCTCTGAGTTTGAGACCAGCCTAGTCTGCATTCCGAGTTCCAAGCCAGCCAGAGCTAGTCTGTCCTCTTGTACAGTATTCAGATCAGCCATGTCTCCCTCCAGGGCTCCCTCCTCCATGGCCAAGTCCAAGCTCAGCCCTAAAGTTGCTGCACAGAGCCAGGTGTGTAGTGACACAGGGCAGTAGGAGGATTTTACTCTTTTGGCTTTTCGGGGGTGGGGGGACACCACCCAGTTCCCAAATAAATCACATAGAGGCTTAGTTAGCAATGTCCAGCCTTAGCTTGACTTGTTTCTTGCCAGCTTTTTTTAACTTCTGTTATTCCGTCTACCTTTTGCCCCTGTGCTTTTCCTGGTCTCTTCTGTAGATCTTTACTTTGACTCTTACTGTGGCTTGCTCTCCCATGATGTCCTCCTCCTCTGGCTACTTCTCTCTCCTATATTCTCTCTGCCTGCCAGCCACGCCTGTCCTTTCTCGTGCCTTGCTATTGGCCGTTCAGATCTTGATTACACCATCAGATGTTCTAGACCGGCAAAGAATCACAGCTTCACAGCGTTAAGCAAATGCAACATGAACAAAAGTCGCACACCTTAACATAATATTGCTAACTCTGCAGGGATAGGTAGAGGCCGGGAAATCAGAAGTTGAGAGTCATCCTCAGCTTCATGTGGAGAGTTTGAGGTCATCCTAGGATACAGAAAGAAGACTTTGTGTCAGAACAAACAAAGCTGCTGGGTGAAGCCAGGCTTAGTGGTATGAGCCCCTGATCCCCACTGCTCTGGAGGCTGGTGCAGAAGTGTTACAAATTTGAGGCTGGTGTGGACAATATAGTAAGACCCTGTCTCCAAAAGAAAATAGGAAAGGCAAGCATGGTTGTAAACGCCTGTAATCCCATCGTCTGAGGGGTAGGAACAGGAGGGTCAGGAGTTCAAACCTGCCCTGTGCTGTGTAGCTCATCGAGGCCAACCTCTGGCCTATGTGAGACCCTGGCCCCCAAAGCAGGCAGCCCTGTGCAATGGTCTCGATCTCTGTCCACTGCCTGCCTTGCTGATCGCAATTTTCCTCCCTTTGGGACAGAACCTGGTATCTCATCCCTGTCTTATTTCAAGGCTTCTCTAGCTTTCTCTTGGAACTCTACTGATGACATTCTCCCTGCTGGCTCCCCTGGCTCCTGTAGGGAAGCAGGAAAATGCAGCCTTTCTCTAGCATGGCCGGGTCTCGTGGAAACCAAGAAATAGGCTCTTTTTAGTCATTTTGCTGGGGGAGTATAAAGTATTATACTGGGAGTATAAAGTAACCCTGATTAAAAGTTAGTGTGTTTGCTGGGTGGTGGTGGTGGTACATGCCTTTAAGGAGGATCTCTGAGTTCCAGGACAGTCAGGACTACACAGAGAAACCATGTCTCAGGGGGAAAAAAATGTGTCAAGTGTGTCATGGTTACCTTAATGTCACGGTGTTATCTCTCGAGCCTAGAAAGTCAAGAAAGAGATGGCTCGACGGCAAGCGGTGGGTGTCGGGCTGTGCGCCAGACACCAGTTGTTTGTCAGCCTGCACCCTGCAAGCTGACTTCAGAGTCCTTCCTGGAAAGCTGATTTTCAACAGGATCCCTGGGCAGGTTTTTAAAATCAATAAGCCATCTCTGCAGCATTTAAGAGTACTTGTTGCTCTTGTGGAAGACCTGGATTTGATTCCTGACACCTACATATCAGCTCCCAAGCATCTGCAACCACAGTTTCAGGGGATCTGACAGGCATACATAGGGCACACATACCTGAATGTAGACAAAAACACAGAAAATAAAATCTCTTTAGTGTGTGCGTATCTGTGTATGTATATGCATATGCACATGCTGGGGATCCACCCCGGACTTTGACTTGTACGGCACATACCTGCGGTAGGTGGCGCTACTCTTTGTGATGAGTTGATATCGCTTGGAGACTGCTCATGCTCCAAGCCCGTGCTGAAGAAACCAGAAGGGTGCACATCAGCCAGGTGACTTCAGCATTGAGCAGAGTTCGGGGAGCACTGTCCTGAGCCACTGTGTTTAGAGTGTCACCAGAACTACCTTCCAGTGGCTCCAAACACAGCATGTAGTGCTCTGACAGAGTGGATGGTGGGAGGTGGAGCCGCCAAGGAGGATCCTGAAAAGACAGGCTTCTCCTCTCTCCTTGCTCTGCTGCTTTCCTTGCTGAGAGAAGGAACAGCTGAGAGTCTGTGTCAGCTGGACCCTTTCTGTCTGTGTCCCCCACCCCCAGCTTTGTGACGACAAACTGTGCTCTGCAGTTTTCATCCCGTGGGATCCGGCCTGGCCTTACCACTGTCCTAGCTCGGAACCTGGACAAGAACACCGTGGGCTACCTGCAGTGGCGATGGGGCATCCAGTCAGCCATGAATACGAGCATCGTCCGGGACACCAAGACTTGCCACTTCACTGTGGCCTTGCAGGTGGGTAAAGGAGCTGCAGTCTCTTGAAGATGCATCTTGAGGCGGGTATCTCAGTATAACCCTATACCCTGTGGGGCAGTTCTGGGTTCACGCAGCAGTGACTGTGGCCTCTAGTGAGGAAGGAGGATGTTCCCAAGTGGCTGTGCTCAGATCATCTGAAGTAACAGTTTCACGTCCTGTCAAAATGGTGCTCTTGAGTCCTGTGGCCGGGCAGAGAGAGAAGCTGGTGGGAAGCAGGTCCTGGGTTCCTCATCCTAACTCAGGCTTACCAGAGGTTTGTTTTCATGAGAGGCCAGTAAACTGCATTTTCATTAGAAATCAGTTCTCTTACAGTTGTGTGCTTCATAACATTCCTGTCGGTAGATTTCATGGTGAGACCATGTCCCCCAGTGGTGAGATTCACACAATGGCAGATCACTGTCATCTCTCAGCATGTCATTACACAATAGCAGCTGTACTGGCTGCTGGTAAACACACACCTGCCCTGATGAAGCTCCCTTGGCCAGGTGCCCAGCAGCTGTGGGCAGCTGGCGTCATCATCCAGAATGATAAGGCTTAACTGGCCTCCTTGCACTTCCCTCCTCAGCTGGGGATCCCGCACTCGTTTGCACTGATCAGCTATCAGCACAAGTTCCAGGATGATGACCAGACCCGGGTGAAAGGGTCCCTCAAGTAAGTCTGAGCTTTGCTGGCATAGAGGTGACCCAGCGCTGTGGTGGGCACTTGTGTATCGTCATCACTCCTGTGATGCTCCCTGATTGCCCCATTCTGGCATTGGCTCCCATGGGTGATGGGTGGAGGACGGGAGGGAGACACAGCTCTGTTCCTAGCAGCTCCTGTGTGGACGGGAGGGCAGGAGGGAAACATGCCTGCAGCTGTGCTCTACCCCCCAGGGCAGGCTTCTTTGGGACAATAGTGGAGTATGGAGCTGAGAGGAAGATCTCCCGACACAGCGTCTTGGGTGCTGCTGTGAGCATTGGTGTTCCGCAGGGTGTGTCTCTCAAAGTCAAGTAAGTTGAGCCTGACCCTTGCTAAGCGGGGATGAGGGTTAATTCCTCAGTGTGCCTTTGCTTCTGAGCTGCATGAGCAGAGAGGTCAAGGGGCATAACCCAGCAGTGAATTGGGAGAGGCCTAGGCTCTCCTCCCTCACACTTCACCAGGCCTGTCCAGTGACCGCGTCCACACCCAGGGCCACCACAGGTGTCTGCAGCATCAGATTCTTCCTTGTCTGTAGCATAAGAACGTGCACCCTTTCCTCTGCACTGCCCAGTTCCTCAGTCGTGCTGTCTGAGTTTGTTTGGGTTTTTGATGTTTTGTTTGAGATATGGTCTCACATAGCCAAGGCTGTCTTGGAACTCAAACTTGGGATCCTCTTGTTTCAGTTACCTTAGTATTGAGATTTCAGACACGGACACTTCTAGCTTCTGGGTTTGCTCACTTTTCTGTTGCACTGCAGTTGGGCCTCCTTCAACCACCTGGGCATCATGCTTCCCAGCAGAGGGCAGCTGTCGTCCTCTTCTGCCTCTCCTTCCTCTCTATACTTCTCTGTGCCGGGATTCTTGGACAGCAGGCTAGAGCCCTGCTTTTGTTCCTGCCTCCCAGTGGTGGCTCTGTGGGGCGCAGTCCTTGTCTGTGCAGACTTCCACAAGTGGCCCAGTCTGGCCTGTGTGTTTAGTACCGGTTTTGTATCTGGATGGAGTTCTGAACTCCCAAGGGATGGCTGTACTGTGTTTTCAGTGTCCTTGCCTCAAGGGCCCATCTTGGCCTGCTTCCTAAATCTCTAGCTTATATGCATGGTGCCCCTCTGTATCCATGGATATCACATGTTTGGATTTGAGCCACCAGAATCAGCAATAATGGAGAAAAGGTCGCAGACAGTGCAGTATGGCAGCTGTTGATGTGGCATTCGTGTTCAACAGGACCAGAAGTCAATGAAAGATCTTGTCTAAGAAAAGAAAGGTGTGAACAACTGCTTAGGAATGACACTTGAGGTTGTATGCACATGTGTGCACCAAGAGTCCGAAATTCTATGAGTTCCAATGCATCAAGCGCCCCCTTCTGACCTCTGCAGGAACTGCATGCATATGATGCAGTCATGTGTGCAGGCAAACATTTGTGCACGTGAATGAAATGATTTTTTTTTTTAAATATAATACTGGTTTCTGCAGACACACTACTGTTTTACACTCTGAGCTGGGACTTCCTGGGTCCCAGTACTCATCTGCATGCTGACCCTCTTTTGTCTGGAGTGAGCGCACTGGTGAGGGCACTGTGCCCTGCTGGACTCTCTCAGCACTATGATGATGACTTACTTTCAGCTGGCTTCTGGGGACAGTGTCACCTGTCACCTGTGTTTTCTGTGACAGTATTAAACTGTCCAAACTAAATTTTTAAAGGATTTATCATTTTTAGGGCTAGAGAGATGTCTCAGCAGTTAAAAGCACTGGCTGCTCTGCCAGAGGTCCTAGTTCAATTTCCAGTACCACATGGTGGCTCACAGGCATCTGTAATGAGATCTGGTGCTCTCTTCTGGCCTGCAGGTGTACATGCAGACAGAACACTCATACATAAAATAAACGAATAAAAATTTTAAAAATGATTTATTATTTTAATATGTGTGTGGGTCTGTCCACATGAGTGCAAGTGCTCTGAGGGGCCCAAGGAGTCAGATCCCCTGGAGCTGGGGTTCTGGGCAGCTGCAGGCCTGCAGATGTGGTCTTAACTACTAAGCTGCTGCTCTGACTGCTTCGAACTGAATTTTTGTGCTGGTTGGACGTCCCTTATCCTTGACATATTTGTACGTAAAGAGGAGTCTTGGGGAAGTGAGTTCAGTTCTTTCGCTAGCATAGAGCTTTAAAATATTCCTAGTTCACCTGACAACTTCGCTATTTTGTAAACCGTGGGTGTTTCAAGGATTGTGGCTCTTTCATCTTGGTGTGAAATTTCTTAGCATTCATTTGTTCCTTCACCTGCCTGTCCTCTTGTAGTTACCCTTTTGGTAATTTGTATCCTTTCTGTCTTTTGTTTTTAAAGACATGGTCTCACTAGATAGATAGTGCTGACCTCAAAGTCATAAAGATCCGAGTGCCTCTGCATCCCCACTGCTGGACTTAAAGGTGCGCCAGGCTTGGGTCCTTTCTAATAACATCTTACAACACTGAAGCCCCTTTATAGTCAATCTACTGCATCTTACGAAGCTGATGTTGTATTTTCATTATCCAGTTCACTAGGAGTGTATTGCTTAATTGTGCACTGTAGCTAGCGCATGCCTGTGCTTTGTGTGTGTATCTGTGTATGTGTGTGTGCACTTGTAATCCCATCCTCAGGAGGCAGGGGCAGATGCATAGCGAGTTCTAGCCACGAACACACAATCTAAAAAAAAAAATCTTAAAAAAAAAATACAGGGCTGGAGAGATGGCTCAGTGGTTAAGAGCACTGACTACTCTTCCAGGGGTCCTGAGTTCAATTCCTAGCAACCACATGGTGGCTCACAACCATCTGTAATGAGATCTGGTGCTCTCTTCTGGTCTGTAGGCATACATGCAGACAGAACACTGTATACATAATACATAAATAAATCTTTAAAAAAAATACAAATCAATGTATTGTTTGAGGAATATGAAGAGAGGAAAGAAAGGAAAGATGAATACGGCTTGGGCCAAGAGTGGTGTCTTGTGCCTATAATACCAGCGGAGGTGGGAGTATTGCTACAAATTTAAGGCTAGCCTGGGCTATATAGCTTAGCACACACAGGTTCTGGGTTCCGCCAAGGCAGCCATCAATGCAGTGGGAAACATGCCCATGCCCTGTGCTCATGCTCACCTGTCCGCTGCTGTCAGAGCTTCCGTGTGTTTGTTGTAGTGAGTCTCTGTACTGCCAGCTCACAGAAACTAAATGCTCGGCTGATAGCTAAGGCTTGTTTCTAACCAGCTCTTATAACTTAACTCATACTTTTTAATCTACGTGGTTGATTATCTCGTAACCCATTTCTTTTATGTTGCTCAGTTACCTTTACTCTATACCGCCCATGCTGCTTCCTCCGAGTCTCCTGGTGTCTCCACCTTCCTCCCAGCACCCTCTCTGCCTGGAAATCTTGCCTCCCTATTGGCCGGTCAGCTTTGTATTAAACCAATCCGAGTGCTACGTCTTCACAGTGTACAAAAGGATATTCTACAGCACTTTGCTTTAAGATATGATAAACACGGGCTGGAGAGATGGCTCAGAGGTTAAGAGCACTGGCTGCTATTCCAGAGGTTCTGGGTTCGATTCCCAGCAACCACATGGTGGCTCACAACCATCTGGTGCCCTCTTCTGTCCTGCAGACATATACAGACAGAACACTGTACATAATAAATAAATGAATAAATGAATAAATCTTTTTATAAAAGATACAGTAAACACTAATCTGACGCCCAGCGCAGTGGCACCGACTAAGGGGGACTGAAGCAAGAGGATCATTGATCCTAGTTCAGGGACAGTCTGGGCTCCCACCTCCCTGCCCCTCGTCTCAAAGCATGAATAAAGCCTCTGCTATTTAGTTAGTTAGTTATTATTTTTGTGTCTTAGCCGGGTAGTGGTGGCGCATGCCTTTAGCCCCAGCACTCAGGAGGCAGAGGCAGGCAGATCTCTTGAGTTCAAGGCCAGCCTGGTCTATAGAGCTAGTTCCAGGAGAAGCTCCAAAGCTTCAGAGAAACCCTATCTTCTTTTAAAAAAAAAAAAAAAAGAAAGAAAGAAAAAGATTTTTTGTGTCTTATGTGTGAATGTCTGTTTATATGTAGATAAGTATGCAGATGCCCTTGGAGGCTAGCAGTGGGCATCTGCATAGTTATCTACATAGAACTCAGGAACTAGAGTTATAGGCAGCTGTGGGCTTTCCACTGTGGGGTGCTGGGGAGCTAACTTGGGTCCTCTGGAAGAGCAGCCAGTGCTCATAGCCATAAGCCATCTCTCCAGTCAGTCCCTAGTCCTAGTCTTCATATGTGGTCACGTTCTCTGGTAATCAGCTCAGCTTTGGAGCTGGCGTGCAGTGGCTGAGCCCCACTGCTGCTCCGTGGGACCTGACACCCTGTGTGTGTCCTTGTGTTTCCCGCAGGCTGAACAGGGCCAGTCAGACCTACTTCTTCCCGATCCACCTGACGGACCAGCTGCTCCCCAGTGCTGTCTTCTACGCCACCGTGGGGCCACTGGTGATCTACTTGGCAATGCACCGTTTGATCATCAAACCATACCTCAGGGCTCAGAAAGAGAAGTGAGTTTCGCACTAAGAACCTCCACCTCGGTCTTCTCTAAACTGGAGAGCTGACTGTGTCCCCTAGAAAAAGAGGACAGGTTAATGCTGGGGAAGTACAAGCGTGGTGTCCAGGTCCTGATGGTCCGCGTCACTGTTGGCAGCGGCAGCCGCAGGTTGCTCCCTTCCCTCTGTCCCACCCTCAGAAATGACTTGGTTTGCTTTATAAAATCAGCTTCAAACAGGGCCAGCACAAATGTTGTCTCCCTCTCTTGTATGCTAGACATCTCACCCTGGCACTGAACTTGAAGTAGAATGGGTCTGTTTGGTGTGACACTAACTGTAGTCATGGAAACCACAGAACAGACCTAGCTTTGAAATTTCTTGTAGGGAGCCCCTCCCCTCAGTCAAAACTGAGTCCAAGCATCCCTTGGAAACCCAAGGGATGGAGAGGCCCTGTGTTAGCCTCAGAGACACTGGGGCACTAAGGTTGAGTGGGAGACAGGGTATCCCTCTTCTAGCTGCCTGTGACCTGTTACTAGTCTAGGGGCTGAGTTTCCATGGATGTTTAAGACCTGGAGCAAAGAATGTCCTCCATCTGGCAGCGCTGTGTGGGCTGACCCCGAGTGCCTCTGTTTGCTGTAGGAGTGGGCATTTCTGTGCATCCAAAGTAGTCTGAATTGTCTCTGCCTGCTGGAGTCTTCTCCTCTCCTAAGGAAACAGCAGTTTGGGAGGTTCCATGGAGGAGGTGGACAGGGAAGGTGATCTCAAACTAAAGGGAGATGCACAGGCCTGCAGCTCAAAGGCTGGCCTGGGGTTGTGTTTGGAAGTATCTTCCAAGTTCTAGAAGTAGAAATCCAGTTAATTCGCAGACTGCATGCAGGGCTCTGTCCAGCAGAGGGCGCAGTTTGCTCACCATAGAGTCATGGTGCTCACCATAGAGTCACTTGTGCCCTGCTTCTCTCTGAAAGGGAACTGGAAAAGCAAAGGGAGAGCACAGCCAGTGACGTCCTGCAGAAGAAGCAAGAGGCAGAAGCTGCTGTGAGTGTCCCACTGCCACTGTGCAGAGTCCAGACCCAGGGCAGCCTCCTCTGTTCCCTTCTCCAACCCATCCTGCTGAACTGGGACTGCAGAGGAAACTCCTTTACCCTCGTGTTAATCCCAGAGCCCAAGGGCTTTTCTTCCCCCTCATTTTACAACCTTATTGCCTGTCTGTGACCTGTGGGCACATTCTAGAGACTCCGGTCTGTGCCTTGAGATGAATACAGCCCTCCAGGGCCAGACAAGGTTTGTGAAGTGGCGGGGTTGTCTTCTTCTCCCTCTACGTACTCCTCCTGTTGGGGGAGCTGAGGGAGCAGAAGCATCATGACTGAACAGCAGAGTACTATGGGGTTCTTGTGACCAGAGGAAGGGCAGTAAAGGCACAGGACTGAGAAACTGCATGAGGCCACACATGTTCCCAGGCAAACCCCAGGCAAATTTGAAGGGCAGCACACAGCCCTGCCCAGCTGTGTGTTCCACAGAGAGCACAAGTCCTTCTCAAGGAGAGTGGGCTCCAGCTGCTCCCATGAAGTATCTATCTTCAGGCAGGACTTCACAGTACTCGGGATGACCGCATACTTGTTATGTAGCCCAGGTTAGCCTTGAAACTCATCACTGTGGAGCTTTTTATTTCTTTTGAAATACTGTGTTCGGTAATTTCTCATCCTTCACTGAACTCCATGTGCAGAATCACTGAGAAGGAAGAAAAGGTGCTGTCCCTTCCACTGGGGTCATCGTGTAGGGTTCTGCCTTGTCAGGTGACTCCCCAACACTGCTTAAATGGGGCTGAGGGCTTCAGCCCGGTGGGTGAGCTGAGCTCAAGGCTTGTGCTCCTTTCCCTGCAGTCCCTGAGCAGACATCTTGACATGGACACAAACTGGGTGTTTGTCATGCTCTTGCCAAAACAGTCCAGGGTCCCCGACATGTTCGTCTTCTCTCAAAGGTGCGGCTGATGCAGGAGTCTGTCCGGAGAATAATCGAAGCAGAAGAGTCCAGAATGGGTGAGAAGGCACCCCCTTTGTGGGCTGGGCACTGGGGTCTGGCAGGACAGCCTGTGTCACCCCTGCCGCTCTGTCTGCAGGGCTCATCATCGTGAATGCCTGGTATGGGAAGTTCGTCAACGACAAGAGCAGGAAGAATGAGAGGGTGAAGGTGATTGACGTGACCGTGCCGTTGCAGTGCCTGGTGAAGGACTCCAAGCTCATCCTCACCGAGGCCTCCAAGGTACGTGACCAGTCAGTCACCAAGGCCACCTGCTCCCAGACTGGGGTGCAACTCCATGTGACAGGACGGTCAGGCCTGCAGTGACCATTTCCCCACAGTCCGGAGAGCTTCTGTGCTGGAACCACTTCTGCTCCCGTGGGCCCTAAAATTCACCCGAAATGACCACTGAGTAGCCCACACCTGCCTTCCTGGCACTTGCATTCCGTTTACCTGTAAGTTCCAGAAGAGGTGTGGACTCAGCTGGCCGTGGCTTCAGACTGGACGGGAGAGAAGGGGCTTGATGGCCAGTCTATCACTGCCTAAGTAAACAACTCCCATCTCATCAAGCTTCATCAAGCTCCTCATCCATGTTGTGCCCAGTTGGCGGCAGAAAGGAGCGGAGCAGAGCAGGCCTTGAGGGCGACCCTCTGTTTGTTGCAGGCTGGGCTGCCAGGGTTCTATGACCCGTGTGTTGGGGAGGAGAAGAGCCTGCGAGTGCTGTACCAGTTCCGAGGCGTGCTGCACCAGGTGATGGTGCCTGACAGTGAGGCCCTGAGGATACCAAAGCAGTGTGAGTAGTGCCCTCGGTGTCGACAGCTGAGTTGTGAGGAGGTTAGAGCACGCTCTTGGCCAGGTGTGATACTCAAGCACCCAAGAAGCTGAGCTAGTAGGATCATGGATTCCAAGTCATCCTGGGCTACCCAGTGAAGCTCAACTCAAAAACTCAAAAATAACCTAGCCGAAAGGTGGTGGTAGCAAATGCCTTTGATCCCAGCATTCAGGAGGCAGAGGCAGGCAGATCTCTGTGAGTTCGAGACCAGCCTGCTCTACAAGAGCTAGTTCCAGGACAGGCTCCAAAGCTACAGAGAAACCCTGTCTTGAAAAACAACAGGAACAAAGAAAAAAAAAAGACCCTAGCACTCAGGAGGCAGCGGCCAGCCTGCTCTACAGAGGAAATTCCAGAACAGCCAGAGCCAGGGCTGTTAGCAGGAAGCAAAAAGTCTATTAGAGAGATGGCTCATCAGTTCAGAGCATTTCTTGTTCTTGCAGAGGACCCAGGTTCAGTTCCCAGCACCCACACGGTGGCTCACAACCATCTGTGACTGGTTTCAGGGGATCTGACACCCTCTTCTACCCATGGGCACCAAGCATACATGTGGTTCATTCATACATTCAGGCAGAACAGTCACACAGAACTTTTAGATGGGGTAAGATGGGGTAGGATGACCATTCTTGCCACAGCTGTGAATGGCTGCGTGGAAGTGACCCTTCGCCCTGGGTGCAGAAGCGGGTGCTTCAGGTTGAGGGTGGTGGAACTCAGGAGGCAGGGGTCTGAAATCTAGGCCAACCGTGGACTACATAGAAAAGCCCTGCCTCAGAACACAGGAAATGCAGCCGTTCCCGGCCCGGCCTTGTGCAGGAGGTAGAGGAAGCCACCTGTCCTCTGCTGCCCTGACTTGTGCAGGAGGTAGAGGAAGCCCACCTGTCCTCTGCTGCCCTGACTGACTTGTGCAGGAGGTAGAGGAAGCCACCTGTCCTCTGCTGCCCTGACTGACTTGTGCAGGAGGTAGAGGAAGCCCACCTGTCCTCTGCTGCCCTGACTTGTGCAGGAGGTAGAGGAAGCCACCTGTCCTCTGCTGCCCTGACTTGTGAAGGAGGTAGAGGAAGCCCACCTGTCCTCTGCTGCCCTGACTGACTTGTGCTTTCCTTTCCAGCTCACAGGATCGACACAGACGGATAAACTACTGGGAACCCTGAGTAAAAAGGCTACAAAATACTTTCCGGGGAGTCTACAACTTTGGAGCAGGGAAACCCAGACATGAGATGTTTTTTGTTTATCCCTCAAGAAGGTGGCGCTGTATCAATTATGTGTTGGGACATGCAGACAGCCTAGCCTCGTGGGTGCTGTGGGTGAGGACTGCAGAGCCCCACCCTGGCCAGACCACAGCATGGCCACATCTTTCCCAAGGATCATGTTCCTGGAGGACAGTGCCTGAACCGACTCTTGAGGTCACCCCCGCCCGGTCCTCATGAGTGGCCGTGCACAGCCGCTCTCGGGAGGCATTTGGGACATCCTCACACATGGACTGTTCTTCCTGAAGTCCACGCTGCACCTGGGAAACATGAAAAGGAAGGTGTGTCGCGTGCTGCTCAGTAGACTCCCACAAGCCACCTTTCTCTTCTAGAACATTATACAGTGGACTGGAGAGGACTGTGGGTTTATAAAACTGCTTTTTATCCGAGAACAACAGGTTTGGAGACTAGTCTCTTTCTTCCCCTTCCAGAGCTTCTCAAATCATTCCTCCAGGCCCTGGCTTGGGACAGAGAGGGGAGACCCCAGGTCCCAGGGTACACTGTCCAGGCATACTGCCCACAGTGCTAAAGAAAGATCCTGCTGCCAGTGGCCCCTGCACCCCACCCACAAGACATCTGCCTTGCAAAGCTCTATAGGGCGGCGCTGGAAGGAGGGGACCTTTGCAGGTAGTGGGGGCACAAGTTTGCCAATTCCTGGGTGGGCCCAAGGCTGGCCCAGGTACCTGAACCTCTAGTGAGCACCCAGCAGGCAGTGCTGTTGCTTACCAGGCCAGGCTCTCACAAGGTTCCTCCTAAGGAGCCTCAGTTCCCAGACCCCTTCTAGTGCATTGCACACTTGGTGGCTGTCATTGCAAGCTCTACCCTCTGAGCAGGTGTGACAGCGGCGGTGACTCTGACTCTGGTCCCCCAGCAGTAACTGCTGAAGGCAGACACTGCCTTACTATCCTCACAACCCTTCGGTTTTTAAGAACATTCAGTTCTGTAATATTTATCTCCGTTTTTTGGTTGTTGTTTTTTTTTTTTTTAAGAGGCTTTTTCTTTGCCCCAGACTGGTGTGCGGTTTGCACTATTGCATGAGCCCGACTCAGTGGCCTGTGGCTCCCTGGGCACCGCTGCCCCTTCTGTGTGAAGCTGACTGTGGCGGCACTGCCCAACAATAAACCTGACCTGAAAGCTGAAGCCACTCTGTCCATCGGTGCGTGTATGTTTAGGAAGGGGTAGGAGACAGCTACAATGCCCTAGGCCTCTCCCACCCCTGCTGCTTCAGCTTAGACCATTGGCTTCCATTCCACACTCAGCTTTACCTGAGACATAGAACCTCAAAATAAGGAAATTAGACATAAGATTTTGTGTTTGCATTTTAATCATGGTCTGGCTGTGTGGTCCAGGCTGGCCCAAAACTCCTAATTCTCCTGCCTCAGCCCCGATTGCTGAAACTACAGGTGTGCGCCTCTACTCAGACATTTAACGTTTTCACTTTTTCAAACAGTCTTCGTGTCTAGATAGTCTGTTCTTGGTTGTGAGTCTGGCCTTTAACAGCTGGGCTCCCTCTCCAGCCCGTGTGTGGGTATTTTGCCTGCATGTGTGCACCAGGTATTTACCGGGTGCCCCCAGATCAGAAGGGGGCAAAAAAAAGAAACAAAAACCACCTAGAATTGGAGTTGGATGGTGGTAAGCCGTCGTGTGGGTGCCAGGAGCTGGACCTGGAGCCTCTGAACTAGCAGCCAGTGCTCTTAACCAGGGGAGAAGATGTTTCTGCAGCCCCTCCCCACGTGCACTTATTTATCTGTTTAGTTATTGTCAATCAGTCCTGTGGCCGCGGTAGTCACTCCTGTATCAGGAAAAAGTGAAAGCAGCAGGCCTTAAATAGAGTTCAAAGAATTTATTCCACATTTACACAGACCAGGCCAGAAAGAGTCGTCAAAAATACAGGCTGGTGCGGGAGACCCTTGCCCTGCCCTCAGAACTCCTCCTCTGGGAAGGTGAGAACGACCCCACAGACTAGCCGTGTTCCTGGAGGTGGACTGCAGGAATGGCCACCTCTCCCTCGGGGAGCTATCTCTGGCAGGGCTGTGACAACTCCTAACATTTGGTCACTGTTACAAGACAGGCCCACAGCTGCCATCCTCAGCCCAGGAGACCCGAGATTGTGCCTCTGGTTCCCCAGCACTTGGGCCCTCCCCTGACGAGGGCATCCTATCTAGCCAGTCTCAAGGTGCCTTGCAGCACCAGTAGTAGGAATGTGCACACTTCCTCACATCCCAGAGCCTCCTCGGGCTCAGTTCTGCTGTGCTGGCCGTCTGACCCGTGGTCCCCGCTGTCCCTCTCTGTAGGCTCGCAGGCGGCTACACGTCCTCCGAAGCAGCAGCCTCTGGGCCCTCAGTCGTTTCCGGAGCCTCTTGTTTTCCTTCAGCGTGAGGAAGAGTTTCTTTTTCAGGGTATCCAAGTCCAAAAGGGCATAGCTGTGATCCGACGGCTGTCCCTGGAAGGGCCGTTCTAACCCCATGGGGCCGGCTGGCAGGCCAGAAGCCTCCATTGCTTCTGTTCTCTCTGGTAAGACCTGAGGACAGAGGTCAGAAGTAAGAGCTGTCCAGGTGTGGCCCTGTGTCCCCAGCAGGAAGGCTTCTGAGCTGGGGTCACAATGCCCCCTACCCTTCTGGTCTAGCTCCAGCCCCATTTCCCCCACTTCCCCTTGTGAAATCCCGACGGTGGTCTTAGGAGAAGCTCTGGTCCTGTCATCTGTTGGGTCCTCTGGGGCATTTCTGAGACCAGCTTGTACCCAGGGTCTTACCTGTTTCACAGGGCCTTCAGTGTCTGGAGGCTGAAACTCTTCCAGTGTGCCGTCCCCACCAGCCCCCACCTCAGGACAGACCTGGATACAGCAGGCAGGCGGAGTCAGGCTGGCTGAGCTGGCAGACACCGGATCCTCAGGCAGCTGCCACTGTCCATCCCTGAGTAATCCCTGCCCGGAGGCTGCAGCCAAGTCCTGCGCATCTGCAGTAAGAGCCTGTCTCCCACCAACTCCCCGGGCTCTAGCCTCTGACCCACTGAGCCTGAGGCCACAGCTTCCTCTGGGAAAGCAAGCATCCTGAACTCAAACCTGACACTCTGCTTTTCTCCAGATACTCTCTCAGCGCTCACTAAACTCAGTGCTGAGTGCACTGCCTGACTGCCCTCCACTGCAACCCTCACAAGAGGCGGCATCTCTCCCTCACCAGCTCTAAGACACAGCTGTGGCTCAGGCAGGACACAGTGGGACCTAACCGAGGCCAGACAGAGGCCTGGTACAGCCACGTCCCCCTGCTCAGCCTGAATCCAGCTGTGCTGACTCTTGCCTGCACTAGGTGTACTCCCCAAATCCTGGGTCAGTGGCACCTGAACAGGTCCCCACAGCTCCAAGGACCTGACTCCTCTGGGTGAACACTGGCCCTACAGTACCCTGTCATCAAAAGGTCATGCAGCTGCTGGCAGCGCACACAGTGGCCATCTGCAGCTTCTTGCCACCAGCTTAGCCTGGGGGCACCGAGGACTGTGAAGTGGACCTGCTCAGATTTCTTCCAGCTTCTGGCCACTGGCCCTGGCTTCCCACCTAAGAGCTGTAACCTCCACCCTATAAACACGGCCTAAAACTTCAGGCTGGAGTTTGTGGCAATCCTCTGGCTTCCACCTCCTAAGTGCTGAGATTACAGGCATGTGCCATCGTACCTGGGTTTCTTATTTATTGTGAGATAGGCTCTCATGTACCTCAGACTGGCCTCAAACCCCAAGGATGACTGACTTCTGATCCTCCTGCTTCCACCTCTGGAATGGCAGGATTGCACACATGCACAGCCACAGCCTAGACTGCAGCGCTGGGGATCTAGATCTAGCCCAGGGCTCCGTGCATGCTAGGCAAGCACCTCTACCAAGGGAACAGCAGCCCCAGGCCCCAGCAAGCACAAATTAGTGCTAAAAGTGTTTGAAATTACTTTTCTTCTCTCTGGGGGGTGGGACAGGGTCTCATGTACCCCAGGCTGGCCTTACCCTCTCACCTCTGGCTCCAAATTATGGGATTACAGGCCTGCACCATAGTTTATGCAATGCAAAGGCTCGAACCCAAGGCCGCTTCCATCCTGGGCCAGTACTCTTACCAGCTGAGCTACACCCCAGCCCCAGCTTCTTTTTAAGCTCCCCATTCAGCACACAGTCCCACTGGCTGGACGTCAGACCAGCACCTTACCTGTGCGGGGTTCTGAAAAGCAAACACGGTGGGCACGGCATTGTGTTTGAGGTTCTTGCGGTTCCCGAAGGCGCTGAAGCACTCAGGTCTGAAGTGCTCAGAACAGATGACCGTGTGTTGCTTGGGCTTGAAGTTGACCCGGCCGATGTTGAGCACCCACTCCTTCAGGAGCTCCGGGCGGCTGAACGGGAACCTATGGGCACAGCATTCCATGATCCAGCCTTAGGAACTCAGTAGTCCACTTTGTTTACCCTAAAATCCGGACACTCGCCAAGGCTGTTATCAGCACATATATGAAACCCAGGATCACGAGCATGGCAAGAGCTCAAGAGAGCTGTATTTCCAAAGCATGTGCCAGCAACTCTCCTTCCTTCACGAGTTCACTGCTGGGGCTTCAGAGATGGCTCAGTGATTAGGAGCACTGAATGCTCTTCCGGAGGACCCCGGGGTTCAAGTCCCAGCAGCCGCATGGCAGCTCACAACTCTCTGTAACTCCAGTTTCAGGAAATCCACCCTCACAGACATGTGCAGGCAAGACACCAATGCACATAAAAGAAAATTTAAAAAAAAAAAAAGTTCACCTCTGACCATGTCTCAATTTCCTGCCAAAACGTGGCAGTGGATAGGACCGAGTCCCTGCCCTTCAGGAGCCTACGTGGCGGACAGCAGCAAAGCAAGCTGAGGTGGACTGTGAGGGCTGCAGCAGCTGACCACAGGAGGTGGCCCTGTGGTCCTTAGCAAGGTGACACCCGAACAGACCCTGCAGCAAGTGGCCTTCACAAAGGACCATGTGACACGAGGCTTTAGATAGGTGTGAGTCTCTGTAGGTTCCAGAGAAGGGAAGGAAAGGCAGCATGTGTCCACCCAGGCTACAGTGAGAACCAGGGCCGAGCAGGAGAAAGTGCTGGAGACGGGGGAACATGCTATGAAAGCAAGACAGTGCTAAGTTAGCGACTCAAGTCTGGGAAGGCTGAGGCAGGAGGACTACTTTGAATTCAAGGACAGCCTGGAGTACCAGAATGACACCTTCTGTCAAAAATAGAACAACTGGCCGGGCGGTGGTGGCGCACGCCTTTAATCCCAGCACTTGGGAGGCAGAGGCAGGCGGATCTTTGTGAGTTCGAGACCAGCCTGGTCTACAAGAGCTAGTTCCAGGACAGGCTCCAAAACCACAGAGAAACCCTGTCTCGAAAAACTAAAAAAAAAAAAAAAAAAAAAAAAAAAAAAAAAAAATAGAACAACTGCTGGGCGGTAGTGGCGCGAGACTTTAATTCCAGCACTCGGGAGGCAGAGGCAGGTGAGCTCCAAACCAACCTCATCACTTAGCAAGTTCCAGGCCAGTCAAGGACTTGTGTCAAAACAAAAGAAAAAGAAAAGGCCAGGTTTCAAGGTTTGCCTGTGGATCATGAAGCAATGGGAAGGAACTTCGTGTTTGCCATGGAGGACAGGAGGTTTGGGTGAACACAAGTTTGGAATGTTAGGTGTTCAAGGTGCTCTTCGACTGCCCAAGAACAGGCGTGGCAGATGGGCACATGTGCCCGGGGATGTCCCTGCAGAACCTGCCAGCACTCTGGTTCCATGTTGAACACGGCAGCACTCAGTGTGGGAAGTGGGAGGATTCAGCCGAGGAGACTGACAAGGGCGATCTGGGACAGAGGTCAGATGTGTCCTAGGACTCTGGGGGAAAGACCAGTGTGGTCACAAGCTAGTGAGAAGTCAGGTAAGACAAAGGCAAAGCCCAAGCAAGAACTGACGTGGCAGTGCAGGCCTGGAATTCCAGCAGGAAGATCCAGCTTAAAACCAGCCTGGGCGACACAAGACCTCTGCTCTCTCAGAAAAGTAGGAGCAACACCGCCTGAGAGAAAGGTCACACGGGTTAGTAATGAAAGCATGGAACGCACACAGAAGGAAAAAGTCATTAGGAGCCTACCAGTCTATGTGATAACTGTGTTAATAAA